ATCACTTGAATCAACAAGAAATAAATCAAGGAAGTGGGAAGCAGTGGACCTTCCTTGAAGTACTACGTCATTGGGCATGTACAGATGCTCCTTCTTTGGCTTCAATGACAGGCTTGCTTCGTCTAGTGAAACATCACAATGTCATGCTATCTGAAGAGGATTACAATCAAAAATGGCCAATTACAGGCAAAACATTTCTAAAGATAGAGGACTACAACTTGTCATACATCATCATGAGGAATCTTAATGACTTTGATCTGCAAAAAAAGGCATTCATTGGTGAACCAGAGTTAATAAATGCACAGCAACTCATAGAACCCAGCAGCAGTTCAAGTGTCCAACATGAACATGTCAGTCATGCATGCTGTAACAATGTTGAGGATAGTGATTCTGATGCTGAAGAATACATTGAAAATGATCATGTGTCAAGAAATGGGGATGGTCGTACGTCAAACAAATACACAACCATTATTGAAGTCAATGATGATGATGAAGATGCTGACAACGTTCAAATAAAGAAATTCATGATGGACGCATCTGTAACCCAGAAACTGATTTCCTTCTTTATTCTTTTCCCCTCTCTTATTTGGGTTGAAATCTCTTCTACAAGGTTTTCGGTTCCTTGCAGCTGTTCCCTCTTGTTTTGGTTCCCCTCTTTTTGCATCAGCCTGCATTAATGCGTGACGCCCGTTTATGTTCTCTTCCTCAATAGAATTGGGTATTTGTTGACAGTGACATAGACCCTCTTCTTTCTGAAGAACTTGCCAATTTAGGAAGAACCCTCTTTCCTGGGAACAAGTGTTGTTATTAGATGTATTTTGTATTCATATATATATACCCGGATGTATATATATTCATTAGTGTTCAAGGAACCCGCAGTTCCTCAATCTAGGCAAATATCTTGCCCAAATATTGTGTATCACCAGAAGGTATATATATATCTTCTGTGCTGCATATTTTCTCAGAATTAATCTAGAATTGTTTGCGGTTATTTCTCAGGGAGACTTGCAAACGTTTTTAGCAAGACTCTCTTTGTATCTACGTATCTTTGTATATTTTTGTGTGTTTGTAAAACTAATATTTTTGTGACTTGCAAATATATTGAAGATGTATTTTTCAACCGTATATTTTATTTACCTCAGTTTACGGACAACAAATTGGCGCAGTCGGTAGTCTTTAACTTTTTGTTAATTTGACCCGACCTTTTTGAATTTATTTTTGTCTGGGGTGAGCTTCCCCTTACAATAGTATACAAGTACAAATTTAAAAAGTTAATTTACGAACAAAGATTGTACAATTAAGTGTGTATTTTGAAGTGTGTATTTTTGACTAAGTGAATTGAATCTCATCCCCGAGATCAAGTGCGCTGCGATGTCTCCTCTCTGCGTATATCATGCAAAAAGTTAGATTGGATCCAACCAAGGATCCCTACCAACAATCCACGGCAACAACCCCTCCAACAAAAGCAAGTATCACAATTAAGTGGTACATACATCGTGAGTTGAACGCATCCAAACAATCCTTGAGTATCCCAACCCAAGAAAGATCCCCCGACACTTTCCCGTGTCCACCAATTTTTATCCGTAGAGGTTGCTGAATTAAAAGCTAAACATAACAGCAGCTCGAGTATTCAGGCTAGGATATTGTTCTAAGCAAGTGAAACTCGTCAAGAAAGAAAATATCAGCAGGACCTGAAAATACCCAACCCAAGAGGACCTCATCCTTCAGGTCTGGAAGTGTATCTCCTTCAGGTTTTAAGTTGGAAGAAAATTAACCTCAAAGTCAAGATCCGGACGGTTGTGTGCCAAGGATAACCCCTGAAAAAGTGCTAGAATCAATTGAATTACTGATTCCGCACACAGGAAGGGTGAACAGAAACCCAGAAGAGTATTGAATTTATTGTACTCTATTTTTGAACAAAAAATATAGCATCTTTATACTGAAAAAACAAAGAAATTGGTTAATTGGGAAAATTTTTGTGATTGGTTTTGAGAGAAAGCCAGGAAAAGGATAGAAAATATTGAACAGCCCTGAGAGACGTCTCAGCAAGCTTAAGAAAAGACAATAGCAATGGGTGGAGTGATTTGAAAATCTCCGCATCTCTAGGAAAGATTTCTTAGGAGAACAAAAAAACTCGAGTGAAGAGAGAAAAAGAGATATCAAATTTAACTTGTTTCTATACTACTTTTTGAAGGAAAAGGACCCAAAAATCCCATTTGAAAACAGTCACTAAAAATGACTGAGGCATATGATGAATTTAGTGAGTTTGCTTGCCTGCCAGTTAATCAACAGGTACAGAAAGCTGAATGGAAAATTAACCAATACAGCCAACAATTGGAAGCTGTGCAAAATGAGCTTGCTTTGCCAGAAACAACAGAAGCTAGAAAAATTACCCTAACCAACCTACAAAAAGCTCATGAGACATCCAAACAATTTTGGACCGAAATATTCAAGGACCTCAAACCTAGTGTCCAGGCAATGCAGGAATCAGCAGCCTTAGTAGAAGGTGTGCAAGCAAGAATATTGGCTCAGCTAAACAACAACAAAGCTGAAAAGAAGAGAAGAGAACTCAATGAGATGATAGGCATCAAGGAAGCCTACCTAAAAAACAATTTATCCATTGATCACCTACAAAGACCAAGCGCTGCAGAAGCACTCTTTTTCCAAATGAAAACAAGAAGAGAAGAAGGACCAAGTGTGAATTTTTGTCGTAAATTAGTTAATTTGGATCTTTCACAATCTTTTAAACCCAGACGTCTCTAGATTCTCCAATTGTATAACTTACCATTGCAAGTTATGTTTAAACTAATTTCAACAATTCCTTGAGAGGAGATTTCTTGATCCTTGTTACCGGGCAAAGTAAATTCAACTCCTCTTTTATCAAAATAGGTGAGTGAGCTATATTTCGTGTTCAACAGCAGAGATCCTGTACTCTAACAAACTTCGGACAGCAAATGAGCGCGCAAACAACAGAGAACAGGCGACTATATAGATTCGCTCAGGTAAGGTTGAGCAAGAGTGGTCAGACCCAGATCTGACCTCATTCTAGGTGAGGTTGCGTAACCTTGTGGCACGTGACTCACAAGAGATCACGCGGCAAAACCGTGAGCCAGGCAACGTGACTTTATTTGGAGCGTTGTCTGCTAGGTGAAAAGGAACGTAGCAAAGTTATTGATGACAAATTCTCCGCGGACAATAAAAAAAATAAGTCCTCTTATTTTCCCAAATGCCAAGGCATGTCTTTTTGGCACCAGATTCCTTCATCACCCTCATTTGAGGTGCGCAGGAATTCATACAGATCTACTTGACTGTAAACAGTCGAAGAATTATCCATATGTAGGAACCTGCCTCGTAGAGTACAGTTCAGTTCCTTTCAGAGAACCAATCAGTCGGTTCTTCAATTTTGACAAGGACTATTATTTATGTCCTATTGAGAATTGTCAGATGATAATTTTTACATTCCCTTAATTTTCTTCAGATAACGCTTCCAAACAAGTTCGCGTTTTGCAATATTTTGCGGAAGGTAAATAAAACAAAATCCCTCAGGCAATAGAGTCAACAATCAAGTTAATCAATAAAATGTTCCGATTTGCGAGAATTCTGCTTTTTTCCGAGTTTTAAGAAAGGTTTTAAATTTTCTTCTGCTAGGAAGAAAATACGCGCTTCATTTAAATACACACATCTTTCAGCATAATTTATCGAGGCCCGTAGTTTCTTCAATATATCGCATCCAATTATACCTTCAAATTCTTGGTTACGTACTTCAGTTACCAACAAATTTGCTGTAGTGAGGATGCAATTATTATGCAGAATATCTGAAGAGACGATTCCTAGAATGGGAATCTCTCTACCTTCTATTGTTGAGATTGTTAGGGAAGATTCTTTAGGAATAATCTCAGGTCTTAGAACTGTTAAAGATATGAGTGAAATTTCGGATCCTGAGTCAACAAGAAATTTGCAAGGAAAAATGGAAACAATTGGGGACAACAAAATTACCGGAAGTTTCTGGGACTTACTTGAAACTCCAGTCAATACTCGTTTCCCGAGTATGACGTTGATGTTGACGGTTCCTTGTAGTACCCTTCAGGCAACCATTCCTCTTCTGGTTCCTGGTATTCCTGGTAATCATCTTGGTATTCGTCTTCCACATAATCATCGTCTTCAGCAGTTGCAGAGACAAAGTTGATTCTTCGTCCTTGGCTTTTGCTGGATCCTCTAGCGCCTCTTCCACGATAAGAAGAGCGACCTCTCCGCATTCCGCCATTGCGGAGGATTCTGCGACTTGGACGCGCATTTTCAG